TACATGAACAATTTCATAAAAGAGAAAAGCCTTGTGGTCATAAACAATGTAGGAAGGCCTTCAATACTTCTGCTTACCTTAAAATGTGTGAATTAACTCATATTAGAGAGAAGCCTTTCTAATGGAAGCAGTGTGGGAAATCCTTCACTACATTGAGTCACTTTTATTTACTTGAAAGAACTCATGCTGGAGAGATGCCTTGTGAATGTAAACAATGTGGGAAAGCCTTTGCTTGATACAGTAACATTTTAAAACATCAAATAACTTATACAGGAAAAAATCCTTACTAAAGAAAAAAATGTGAAATGACTTGATTTTTGGGTTCTGTTTTAAACCTGAGAGTAATTGTATTGTAGAAAAGCCCATTGAATGCAAATAAATAAATAAATAAATAAATAAAAAGACAAAGAGAAATAATTTAATATTCTCAGTCACCTTCAGTAACATGAAAGTATTCATGGAAAAGTTGTTGAGTGTGTGTGTGTGTGTGTGTGTGTGTGTGTGTGTGTGTTTTTACATCTCCACATAAACCTAATGTAAATGATGGATTGTTCCTGGAGGGGCAGAGGCATACAGGGCAAAACTTCCAGCATAAGTAGCAAGTTGCAGGTTTAAACAGGTCATGAAACCTCAGAGGTCTTGCAGAGCATTTATGGAACATGAATTGTGAAAGAGGGATTTTGTGAGGATCCCAGTTAAACCACCATGTCTAGATTTTTTTTCTAAAGGTTGACTGAAGAAATCCAGGGCTAAAAGGTAGGAGGGTGCTGGGGCTGCTCCTGCAGAGGTCCTAGAAGTGGTGGAGGGAACATGGTGAGACAGACGGTTCCATGTGCCTAGACCGGGCTCCAGACTCCAGAGGTGTCCATGCCCTGCAGGGGTTTCCAAGATGCGTCCATCACAGTGATGAAAGGGAACCAGCAGATTCTACGATGAAGCGACTTGGGAGTGATAAGAGCGCAGACTTATCCCAGGCCATGTATTTTCCTCCAAGAGGCCCATGCGCTCCTCTCCAACGACCGGAATTCAGGGCAGGGGCATTTCCCACCTGTGCTAGGTGGCTATCACCCCCAGAGGGCGGCGAGGCCCATGCCATGGTGATCCTCGCGCCCACATTGGCTTCCCCTGCCTCCCGTTCCCTCTCAAGGTGTCTGGCTGGGAAGTCCAGCCCCCTGACACTCACCCAGGGCCCAGTCCATGCGCTCCTAGTCTGAGGTCTGCTCGCCCAAGCCTTGATCGCCCAGCGCCCCACCCCACGGCTCCTGGTCCTCCCTGCGCCTATTGCAGGGCATCTGCTGGGGACATCAGCTGTGCCAGTC